TAGCAGAGGCTAGAAGGTTGACTGTTAGTTTGGTTAAAAAATAACTTTTTTCAGTTAATCTCAGAGAATCAAGGGTAAAGAACTATTCTCATACTGCCTTATATTACACTAGCCACTACATCCAAAGCGGAAACTCATAGTTTTTTGTTTTTTTTTGCCGCACACACACCTTTATGCTGAACGAGCACTGCAGGTATATCCAGTTAAAAGACACACATCTCCTGTTCCATGAACAGAGTTCAGCTGAACTTCTTTTCCTGTTCTTATTTTCCATTTCTAAGTTATTATTTGCACTATACATACACAAAAGTCAGCTCCTTCATTAGCACCATCATTACAGGTACAATAAAAACACTGAAAGAAACTCACATGTTTCGGCTTGAACCCGTGAGCAACACATTTGATCGTGTATTGAGTAATAAAGACACTGTCTTTACCTTCCCTGTGATAATAAAATGACAATTGTAGGATTTTTTGTCATTGACACGTCACGTCTTCTAAATGACTTATTTGTTTTACAACAGGTCCTCTAGTTAATCTGTCAACTGTAGTTTCATAGGTTTGGATCTCAGTATGATGCATCACGCACTGACGTAAGCATTGTTTCAGTATGTTGTGCGTAAAAAGGTTATCTGAAGGAAAGTCCTTTTTTACAAGTCCATGTATTTTCTGAATGCAGCCCAGTTCTCAATAGATCTCCTTCCTTGGTTATTGTGTCTGTGTGTATTTAAATGGAAGGACAAAGGTCAAAGCAGTCAAGCTTGTTTTTGGTTATGTATACAACCAGTCTGGCTTTGTGTGCCAGTAAACTCTGTGATTTTCTCTTTCTTAGGGCAAATACAACAACTCGGTCTCAGTGATTTTCACAACATTGGCCGTCTTGCTATGTACTTTATGCTGCAATTGACAGTCTCATAGCAGTTGGTGATGGCAGGGAGAAAGAACTTCCTTTTCATAGAAAAACATTCCCAGTAGAAGCAGGCTCAGGGTGGCTTTTTGCTCGTTGTGAGAATCAAGATTAAAAAGTGTATCCACTGTTGTGCAAACTGCATCAGCATCATTCCTGAAATATCTTCCTTATGAGAACAGACCTTTGCACAACAGAAACTGACACTCGAGGAGGAAATTGTATCGTGTATGTTGTGACCATAACAGCAGTGGCAGCTTTATAGGTGACGACATGATGAATGTCTCCTGAGAACTTTCCACCACTGTGGTAGCGATCAGACCCCCCTGACTCATCATGCGCTCCCCTGTTAAGCTCTGAAGACACACGCACATGCAAAAGCGATATTTCCAAAATATGTAGGGCAAGAGAAGTGGCCTGAGGCGTCCTGCTACTGGAAGGAAAAGATGTGATCTGGTGTTCTTCACTTACTGCCGCTGCTTGATAAGGATGTGTTATCTCTGAAAATCTGGATTCGCTCTGTGGTGTAGTGTCTTCCTGTGATTGTAGGCTTTTCATAATGGACCAGAACCAGTGTCATCAATGTGATCTATCAACCCATAACATAGTAATGATTCAGTGATTGACTATTCTTCAGGCCTGCAAAGCTCATGAAAGCCAGAAGGTGGACGCTTCCTACATAAATCCGGTGATGTGAAACTCATCCAGTGTTAGTGGGTTTGTTTTGTTTGTTTTTTCCTCAGTCCTGGCAGCAGGGTGCTAGTGACACAAACTCTGGGTTGAGTTAGGACTTCCTAAAACAAGCAGAGCCCTCATGTTGTTGCTTGTAAACAGTGGCATTGCCATAATCAAAACTGGCCTAAATCAGCAGGTATAGGAGGAAGAGAAGAAGTCAAAACCTGAATTAAAGTCATTTTCCAGGAGGTAAGGAGGTTTTCAGAACTGTTATCTTTCTCTGTATAATTTGACTCTCTGATCTTCTGCACTGATATACCATTACAGTTACAGTAAAAACCAACACGATCACATACTCGTATCTTGAACCTGGCAGTGCCGCGGCAGCATAAAAGTAAGGTTACAAAAATCAAGAGGTGCATGACTGACCGCAATGACACCAAAGTATGGCTTGCGCCTGCAGGCGTGTCGTGTCGTTCACTCATTGATGAAGAGTGTACTGGGCCCATTTGCCTTTTTGCTTCCCTGCAGCCTTTAATTTAAAGTATAAAGAAAGAAGTAATGGATATAAAGCCAAAGCCGCAGTCTGAATGCAGGAAGGAGAGCTGTGTGTTTGTGTCCTGCTGCCAGGTCCTGTTTCTTATTCCCAGTTCATCCAGCTTTTGACAAGCTACTTGAGTAGGCTGTAGTTAGTGTGCCAAACACTTATCTGCTGTACTCGACCTGACACCAAGGCCCACTTTGTCACTACTTTTGTCACATGTCCTCCTTTAAACTACTGGCAGTATTTCATCATTACTTCATCTGTTCATCATTATCTCAGACAGCAGGGATGTTTTTTTTAATGAAGTTTGGGAATGTTGTCTGTCCAAAATAGTACAGATGTATTCAGAGATGCATTCATCTGCAAGAAGAAGAGTTTACTCCTCTAGCTGTCACTTGAGCGTTTGCTCCAAGACTAGTGAATCACAACGACATTTTGCAAGCTTGAGAAATTCAGTAGTGAGAAAGAAATCCAGGCAAATTTTCTATGACATAAATGTGTGATGTTGTGCAAAAGCAATTTGCCTTGGTTGTGCAGACCTTTGTTGTAATAGCTTATTAGCTGTGTTGCACCATCCAATTTTAATTAAACATCTCTCTAAAGTGCTTTACAGTAAAGGCATGCTTTGTTGGGGGAGAGATGAAGTTACATATATGCCTTTTATGTGTCTAACATTTTCCAAAGCCACAGTTTGATTACTGCAAGATAAACATTTCCTACACTTTATGTCATTTGTTAGCAGAGGCTAGAAGGTTGACTGTTAGTTTGGTTAAAAAATAACTTTTTTCAGTTAATCTCAGAGAATCAAGGGTAAAGAACTATTCTCATACTTCCTTATGACTATACTAGCAACTGCATCCAAAGCGGAAACTCATAGTTGAAAGGTGACGTACTGCAATACTATTAGAGCAGTAAGAGAAACAATACAGGTATGTTTGCAAAACATCGCTGACCTGTCACTGCATTAGTATTCCATTCCTTCTCGCAGTTTCCAGCTGAGATATCACTCGGTACTTCCATGCATACAGTTAAAACCTCTAGCAACACTGGATTGGTCATTGTATTCGCTGAAGGAGATGCTTCCCTCCTGCCACTGAATATAATGGCTGTCAGATCTTGCTGTGTTTTTAATTTGCTGCTTTACTGCACTCTCATCCGTTGCCTTTCATCATCCACCTTCCGTCGGGATCTTGATCGTCGGTCAGCATGTGGGGGAAAAACTGAAGCACATACTATATGTCTACTATATTAAAAGCATTTTTTAGTCCAGCCTGGTCACCCTGACATCTTCTCTGGTGAAAAGACAGTGAGGGGTGTTAATTTGTATCCTTGTAGCAGCTCAAGTAGATAAGAGTGACTACTAGAGCTCCTTGATTATGGCAGAACTCATTTTTCCAGTTATTTTGCTGAATATTGAAGTCATGATTATTTAATATGATTGCAGAGTTTGAAAACCTTTTTTTAAATTTACTGAATGGGTTTCCAGGAATTTATAATGCTTCAAACTCAAATTAAATAAATGTGTACAGCACTAAGAGTGAAGTAAAACAAATGAAGGCAAAATAGAATGCCATTGAATCGTAGTTTCATCTCGATAATATTGTTTCAGCGATCAGTGAAATCCAAAATTGCAACTGATAATAAAATTAAGTTAATCGCACACCACCCATGAAGCAGTTTTGTAATGCAGGAAAAGGGATGTGCTGAAAGTCAAAATGTTGTTTTGTGTCAGTGGACATTAAGTGTGTGTGGTATAGACTGTGACGCATTGACACATTGTGGTTAAACATTGCAGCTCAGTTATTGCCTGTGTTATTATTAGCTATTGTGTTATTAGCTA